AAGACGAATTTCGTGGAGGTCGTCCAAAATCAGTAGTTGTTCCGGAAACCGTTGATACTGTGCACAAACTAATACTGCAAGACCGTCATGTGACCTATCGTGAGATTGGGACAACCTTAAGCATTAGTGGGACCAGCACATATTCAATATTGCATGAACATTTGACCGTAAAAAAATTTACTTGCGTTGGATCCCACACCGCGACAATACGAGCTCTCACACATCGGCTCAAACAACTGCATTTTTGAGCACTCAAAATCGATGTGATGAGCCATATTGTGTGAATTGGCACCGAATGACTTCTTTTTATTCTCGTATAAAAAATAAAATCAGAGGTCAACGTTTTTCGACACCTGAAGAAGCCGTTGATGCGTTCAGAATCCATGTTTTCGAGTTACCTTAATCAGAGTTGCAAAAGAGCTTTGAAAATTGGTTGGAGCCCATGCAAAAGTGTATAGATCTTAATGTGGAGAATTTTGAAAGGCAGTTAAGCGATTTTCAATAAATTGTATTTGTTCCTGTTCTCAAATCCCCGAAATATAAAAGGCAACCTACGTACCAGACTCGTTGATGATCGGTGCCACATGGACATGGTAGGCTTCGGCTGCACCGTCCCTACCGTCTTTCTACTGGATGGTAGTGCCTCTGCAGTACGCTAAGGGGCTGCTCGTCCAGCGCCGAGCCCCCTCTGGGCGCTGGACGCGTGGTCTTTCAATGGCCCGCTTATTCTCACGAGCCCTGTCCACCGGGCGTAAAATAAATCTTCCAAGAATAAAATGACCGTACACTCCACGTACACTGAGCACACTCAAACAAACTTACACATTAAACCACAGTGTAACCTACCATCAGGAACGATTCTGTTCACTCTTGAGTCGGGCCATCCAATCCTCCCAACATCCCTCTGTCCCAGGTCCATCTTCCTCGAACAAACCCCTAGATCCTTCTTGCATGAGGTTGTCCGCAACATTCATGAATCAACAGTAGATGAGAACAGGGCTTCGGAGTCCTTTAGAGCTGCGAGCGGTGGCAATGACGAAGAGTGCGCACAAGAAGGCGAAAGACGACCAGCTCCGGCGACGGCGACGAACGAACGATGCAACCGTCGCACGATGACATAAGCGGTCAGAATCCGTGGCTAAGTATAGCCACGGATCGTCCTCTTGCTCACTGTAGCATACTGTACCTTAAAGGCAGGACCGAGGTGCACACCACGCCAGCCATCCTGTGAAGTCAAACCGAAGGCACGGCACGCAGCATCCGAAGAAGAGATCAGATATTAGGATACGGGTAAGGCTACCTTTGTCAGGAAGAAGCGCTTTCAACATTTCATTTAAATGGTAGAAAACTAAGTATCCCCTACAGACCTGAAAAACCAAAGTTTCTGAACGGAGGTGACTAAAAATACAGAACAAAGTTAAACTTGTTCCATTCACCAGCGTCGGCTGTCTTTTGTTGTGACTTTTAACGCAACGATACGTCATCATCAAACGACCGTTCCTAACGCGTATTGTTGTTGGTGCCGAAATTTACTTTAATGCACGAATGCTTCGTCGAGCGCAGCAGGTCAGACGGATACGGTTTGCTGTGGTCCTATTTATTTTGACAGTATTTTTTGTGAGTGAAAAAAAACTTTCTTGTTATTTATAGCGCTCGCACACCAATCTTTTCAATGAATGGATAATGAGACCGTATGTACCTCCTCCAGCATCTTTCACGACGTAGGGACGAGGCCAGTCACCTGGGTCGATAGTTTTCATCCCCAGCCTTCTAATGAACTGTCTGCGATGACGCTGGTATGCCAGTGTGGTCGGTCATCTAGAGAGGAATTAACGAATGAGTCTACACTTACTGTCATTTATGGGGTTTCCACCATTTGAACGGATCAAACAACTCAGCGATTCCAGACAGGTGCAAGAAAAACAGCTAAACTGCGATTATTAAATTCAGTAGATGAAAATGAGACAGGCTTTTGTAAAACTCAGTTGATGGGAACCGGAGAGCGAGTGGACAGACGATGGTTTTCGAATCGCCCCGGGTGGCCTTTTAATCGGTTCGTCGGGAACGATTCAGCGATTCCCCGGAGACCTTCCTACGAAAACATTTCCAAAGTTCCCTAAGCTCACATTTTGAAGGCGATGAACGTAAGAATTTGGGAACTTAGTGTCTACGAATCCTCAGCATGCTTCCAGCGTTGCTTTATGAGAAGCACAAATACCCGTGAAACGTTTTTCCACGAACACTGGTGCATACAAAGGAACACTGTATTGGCAGCTAGCCATGAATCAAGATGCTGGACGAGTTGTTCGACGTAGAAATCGCTTGTGAGGGTGATGCAAAATTGAAGCATATGCGCCCCAATAGCAACCGCCGCGCCAAGACGGACGGCTTCCGTTTGGTCCCGCAACGAATTCTTGTGTTCTTCAAAGCGGCGCGTAATTTCTGTGAAGTTTTGATTCAAAAATTCCAACATTGGTGTACATTTCAGCATTGGTTTTCAAAGGTTTCCGCTGCTGTGTTGCTTCTTAAACGTATGGTTGTATGTATTGAGCACAGTGTGCTTGGAGGAGTGTGATGATGAACGGTAATCCAAACATTATTTGTTAGAGAGTTTCAATGGACTGGTCTGTTACTGAACTGTTAAGGCTGCTCGAGAATGATCGATATCTCCAACCCTTCTTCGATTCCCCCAGATGATCCTGATCATCCGTTCGTTCCATCGAAAACTGTCTATGTAAGTTCGTAGTGTTTGTATTGTACGGTTACTTTTATAATCCCTCTTAAATGTTTTTTTTTTTGATATGGCTCACGCACAAGTCTTTATCCTTCGTTCTTGTTCTATAATTCATTCTCACAAGATTCACTGTAGCCTGTTAAAAGCAGTTTTTATTTAAAAATTTTCCTTGAGTTTGTTAGAGGAAAACCTAGAGGATGTAAGCAGTGGCATTTTAAATTGGGAGTTAGATGTTGTCAGGTAAAATTTAAGATCGGTAACAACTTTGTACCGATAAGTCTTCACTATTGTAGTCCTATCACACCATAAAGTTGAATGGTAGTGTTTGGTAGAAGAAAGATGAGTAGTTAAATCGGTTTTACTTCATCGATTCGTGACCCACGGCAGTCACGGGCTAGCTGCTTCTTTATTTCAGTTCTAGCTTTCTTCATAAAGCTCGATCGATATCGTCAACTTGCGGAATTTTTGACTTTGTGTTAATTCTGTGAATAATAAGACCACGAAGACGAATTTTTTCTAGGTGATGTTGGATGGTTTAGTCGCTTGCTCTTACTAAATGGCGTGAATAGCCTTTAGCATTAATGATGCTGAACGGTATTGAATAATGACGGTATCCTCGGCATTTGACATTCGGTTTGGAACATTCTGAAATACTCGGGTTTTACTTGGAATTGTGGTGACCTTTTAACGCGCGCTTTAATTGTAGAAGAAGTCGCGCATGCCAGCGGATGTGCAAGTCGGTAGTGGTTTTATTCTTTCAAACGAGTTTAGTTTTCATTCTGAGTCTTCGGAGGATGGGAGGCTTGGTTGTTCAGAAGCGGTTCAGGATTCAATCTAAGAATTACGCGCGTAGGGGCACCACTCTCCCTACCTCTTCTTCGTCCTTGCTTATTCATATCTGCATTCAATAAGTTGCTTTCAGTGAAAAGTGGAAGTAGAGTGAACGGTAGTCGTAGGAAAGAAGAGACTAAAAGAATCCGCCGAAATCGCGCGAGGGGGGATAACTGCGCACAGATGATCTTAAGCTCCGATCAAGAGTAAAACGGCTGATTCGGTGAAAACTTGGAGGGCATCGTGCAGCCCGACCTGAGTATGCCGGGGAGGTCTCTGAAGTGGATCACTTCAACATGACTATCTGACTTCCTTGCTTCCGTTGAACTACCTCGCTTAAATGTGTGACGGCTGTCCTCTCTCTGATAGACTTGGATAAGATGACATCATTTGTTGTAATGTGAAGTTTTACTGCGACGGGTTTTTGTGGACTTCGGATGATCTGGGTTCTGTTATTGATCGCAGGAGCCTGATGCCATCTGGTTTATTACGACTTCTCCAAAACTCCTTCATTAGCTTGAGCGCAACACCTGTTCCCTTGTGTCATCTTCCTACGGACCCGTGTGTTTAACCTATATTCAAGTGTATCGTCACATAAACTGTGCCCCTGCACCCCTCCCAATCCCTTCCTTGTTTCTCCCCGCAGTTATAATGAAGCATCTAGTTCAAAGAAACTTCATAACAATTGCGTTCGGCAGAGGTAGGTCAGCAGTTAGAGAGCCAAGCGATGTCGTCGTACACTGTACAACACTAACTGGAGACGTGAAGAGATCCACTAATTGTATTAGGCACTAAAGTTGCTTATCCAGGTGAAGCTTCTGCCGAGCTCTATCCTTTTTTAGATTGTATTTTTCAAACGAACAATGTCATGAGTCCTCTACCAGCAGTATGGTTGATCTAAGAAACTAAAAGAAAAGAACGCGCATGTCTTCTAAATCATGCGATCTGTTGATAGTTACATCTTCCTACTGTAACGGGTTCCATTGTTTCCGATTTCCCTACTCTGAGCAGCACCTCAAGTCTCGAGATTAATACCTTCATTAGTCTTCAGAATCAGCATTTCGTAAATAACATATTACAAGAAGTTCATGCTGGCAGCGCATACCAAAAGAAGGGAAAAGGGTCTGCAATGGTTGTAGTTGTAGGGGAAAAGATGCCTCGACCCAACTGCTGGTACGGCCTCGTTTCCTTTATATGAACATTCTATAAATACTTAACTCGAAACGGAGGACAGTAAATAGGCAGTGATATAGTCAAAGAGATGACGTTTTCATTTTAATCGAGTGATCAGTTAGGTATCGAGAAGATGCAGAGAAATTATCACGACCAAATGATTGAATTATCGTTCGCACTTTGTTATTACACTTGCTATGGTCTGTACTATTTCAAAGCAGAAGAGTGGTGTACTAAGCATATCTAACAAGAGGTGCATTACATGCAGGAGCAGCATCGTCAGCCAATTTATGCTTGTGCTTTCAATCCATATCAGCCGGATGGATGCGTACCAGTGCTAGCAACGGCGGCAAAAAACATGGTTAGTCCACCTCTGTTTTAGCTACAGCTATATCTAAATCTTTCTGTGGTTAGCAGTGCACGAATGCTACGGTCTTTTTTTAGATCACTCTCTACGAATGCCCACTGGATTCCAACAAAATAATTCTTGTGAGGAGTATCAAAGACCCATCGGTAACTTGTTCTCCTTTCTTCTTTTGTCTTTAGTTCATTACTATTGCACTGTTCGTCGCAGCAGGCGTGTGCGAACTAAAGGAATTAAAGTTCTTGTGAAAATGTAAGCTGTGAGCTGCACTGTTTACCCATGGTGTTCTTTGCTCGTTACAGCCTGACATGGACATCTTCACTCTGACATGGTGTTATGATATCACTGATAAAGCTCATCGAATAGCATTCGGAGGTTATTCTGGTCTGATCCGGCTAGTTGATGCAACTACGGGAAATTTACTGATGGTACTATTTAAAACATTTTTAGTATTGTGAAATACGGGATTTCTTACAAAACTTGCTCCGAAATTCAGAATATGTATGGCCATGGCGATCATGTTAACGAAATGCGTACTGATCCCAATAACTCCATGATATTTGCTTCTGTCAGCAAGGATACTACCATACGTTTATGGAATATACGAGTTCATGGACCAATTGCTATCCTAGGCGGATATGAAGGACATAAGGATCAAATATTATCTCTGGTAAATTTTCGGGTTCTTTTGCCTGATGATAATAAGTGGCGCTTACATGCCATTGCGTACTGTCTTTAAAAATTGCTAGTATTTTTATGCTTACCAGTCAGGCGCTCAGCTGAACAAATGCTTTTACCGTTTAAAGACTATTCGATATTCTATTCCTTCTATTCTTTACATTCCTCCCTAGCCTCTGGGTAAAACTAACTATTCCACAAGTTGTATTGAGCGTTTGAGGTAGCTACATTGTGGCAAGTGCTCTTGTCTCTCCTTCCTGCTTTTCTTGTCTCCCCCTAATCGGTAGAACATACTCGCCGATGCTTTCTTATTTGTCATTCCGTACCCTTCCTGTGCTGCCTGAACCACTCGTTGATCTCTTCTGAAATCTGATTCATGTAAACACCGTTTTGATCGACACGATTCGATTTAGCAGACAGGTGGTTTATTGAATGGACCTTATTTTAAGACTAATATAACCGCACACAGTCATCTAAGTGGTCACTATTTGAGTGACATCTTTCTGTTTCAAAATGCAGGATTGGTCGCTCGACAGCAAATACATTGTTTCCTGCAGCATGGATCACTCCATCAGGCTGTGGCATTTGGGAACTGATAAACTGCAGGAACGTATACGTGATAGCATGACCCTCAAAGGCCAAGCTAATTTCCGCAAAGAGTTAGCAGAGTACGTTTTTTTTATAAGTGATCTGGTGGTCGTTGCTATTTTGGAGGATACTCTGATGTTGTAATGTAGTTGTTCCGATCAGTACCCATGATGTTATTTTTTATTTCTCTTGTAAATAATCTCTAAGAATTTTCGAACTCTTTCAGTGACTGCCAATCCGGAAGAACTATCCAAATACACTATCCCATTGCCATCAATACTGATCTGCATAACGACTATGTGGATTGTGTACGATTTCTGGGGCACTATGTTGTTTCCAAGGTGCTTTTTCTGAAAAACTTGCTCCCAGTATTCATTGAAAAAAACCGGGGAAAATTTAGTTGGGAGAGGAAGGGGGTGGGGGCACACGTAGTATAACCAGAAATTCACACAGTATTACGTGTTATTATGTGTTACATCAGGGACATGCAATAGTTGTAAGCCTTAGGAGGGAAAGAGCATCGGGTGGGTCAGGTTTGAGCTTTTGCTCAAGGTCATCATCCCACCCACCCTGTTGCACCTTTCCTCGCGAGGCTCAGTTACGAAACTACATTCCCGTGGCTAAAACCGCCTAGGAGCGCACGTATGGCGCCCACCCTGTCTCTATCTGCGATACACTTCTAGAATAACATGGATTAACACCGTGTTTATTAATTGTTGTTCTAACACTGTTACGTGCCCCCCCCCCCCCCCTTCAAATACGTTCCCACCTTATTAATCTCCTCAGTTTTGTCCTTTTTAGGGCTCGGACATGTCGATTGTCGTGTTCAGATTCGGCTCATTTGGGGAGGAGTTCTACAAGATAAGGCCAAAGCTACAGGTTTGAACATGAGCTTTCGACATGTTTGGACGCGATTTTCTCTGCTCTGTTCAGGTGGATACATCCGCCATACAACTCGTACGAATGGATCTACCTGATTCCGATATATGGTTTATAAAGTTCGATATCGACCCTCTCAATAGGGTGAGGTTCCTGCTGGTCTTGCTTTACTGTGTAGGGTCATAGATTGTGCATTTTCAGTGGATTGTAAGCGGGAACAAGATGGGACAGCTGTGCATGTGGGATCTAACAAATGGTCTTCCTGCTGTGAACATGTTTGTATAGTTTTATTTCGAACTATTTAATTAGTTTTGTGTTGCGCTATTTTCTCGTAATACACCAGAATGGGTCGCCGCAGGTTGTTCTGGGAGTGACTTTTTGCGCCGTTCAAAACTAATTCTAGGTGTTAGCTATTATCTAAAAGCACGTTATGAAGCAGAGGGCTTTTCATGTTGGAAGTATTGGGGTTTTGTCGCTAAGTTATTATTATTGTGAATGCATTAGGAACGTGACAACAAAAATTGCGGAGTGCTGTGTCCGGCAGATTTGCTTTGGAGCAAATGGGCGGCTGATAGTTGCAGTTGCGGATGACTATTCAGTTACACGACTAGAGCGGATTCTGGAAGGCGAAGATGTGAGATTGCATGTTACTTCTTATAACTTGCTAAGAAACTCAGCGCAACTTTTTTCAATGCAGATACCACCCTATTGCAATACTGCTGGACTTATGAATGGTCCAACGGCGAAGAAACCGAAAAGGCGTGGTCGTAGATTTGGAAAGAAACGAAATGACAGTGAGACTGGCAGTTCTGAGGATAGCGATACGAGGATAAGCTGATGTTCTGTAAATTTTAGCCCATACTCATACTGAATTCTCAGAGTAATTGAATTCAACATTGAATTCTTTGTATATATTAAGTTTACTCTGTACTTTACATCGAAATCACTGTTATTTCTTCCCTAGCATGAAACCGAGTTACTAATACAATACAAACTTTTCATTTTGTTCAGTGTTGATCTCATTACCTTTTGGTGGTAAAATGAAGGATATTCGCATTGTGTACGTGAATTTGAAACAGCTTGGGAAGAGTTTTAGCTCTTTTATCTTGACAATGTTTTCTTGAAAATAGCTCCAGGAACCGCCTTAAGGATGCTATAATGGATTCACAATTTCTATTCAGATGTCTGATGAACCAACCATTTTGGAGTACGCATTAGTAGGTGAGTTTATGCAATTTACTGCGAATTCTACTTCTAGTAGTTAAATTTCAGTGACGACAGCTTCCTCATGTAACCGACCATCTTCAGAACTAAGAGTGAAATTTAGACTGGAAGGAAACGTGCATTGTGCTAGTGTTCCAATGACTGTGGCTGATTTCGCCAAAATTGTTGAGGTGAGACATCCTGGTAAATTCTTCAGTACAAGTACTTCTAATTATTTTTTTAGGAAGAGGATGTTGTTTCTTTCCTCAAGCGTCAAGAAGTTCCACCCGAATAAACCTTTCCTATCTTTCATGCTATTTCTATTTACTGAATTGGTTCATTTTTTTAAATAGAGTTTCCTATTTTTCGAACATAGTTGGACATATCTGTGATTTCTGTAATACTTGGTCCTTAATTATCTTGCACACTTTGATTCAATTTCATTCGCCTTTGTACAAACTGAGCCTCCTTGTTTCACATAGATGTGGAAGACGTTCTATCTATTTCTACATTATAGTCCTTTATATTATGCTGTATAAGTATCCGTTATAATTATATATTGTCGTATCGTGCTTTTGGTTTCTTTTCAAACATTCAGAAATCTTAAAAAAGTTTTTAGAATTCGCAATGACGACTGGTCAAAACGACTTCTATTATTCGAACAAATACGAAGACGACGAGTACGAGTACAGGCACGTGCATGTTACCAAGGAAGTCGCGAAGCTAATACCGAAAAATCGCCTCATGTCTGAAACGGAATGGCGAAGTCTTGGAATTCAGCAGGTGAGGCAGGTGATTGACGCATGCTAGTGACTTATTCTCTCCTGTAAATGTTGCAGTCACCCGGTTGGGTTCACTATATGATCCACGGTCCGGAACGGCACGTTCTTCTGTTTCGTCGTCCACTGCCGAATAAAAACGTTGCAGGAAAGAACGCAGCCCAAGCGCAAGTAGGTGTTTCACATCTTTATTGAACTTTCTTAGTGTGACCTCGTAATCCCTTATCAATGAGGCTTACAGGTTGGTGTGCGCTGAAGTAACATCCGCATGAGGCAGTCGCACTAGAAGCCGAATGATTTCCACCTTGCCTTTTCATTACCTCTTTCTTCACTATTCACTTCCATCTCGCTTACGTGCATCTCGCTCGTCATATACTGTCATATACACTCCACTCCTATTTGATGTACAGCTTCCCAAATGTTACATTACTCGAGACATGTATCCGCTCAAAATAAATTTTATCTACATTTAGCGGCGACTGCATGTATGTAGTTTCTTGCGAGAACTAACTCCTTTCAAAATTGGTAAACGAAATAAGTTCACTTTCATAAATGGAAGCCAAGCACTGCTGTCTGATTTCTATTTTTGAAAGTTGCACTACCAGCAAAACCATGGCAATATCACTGTGCCTCAATTATAAATCTACCAAGTGGCGTTCTGAAGCAGTGGTCACACCTTTGCACTCTTAATTGTCTCTCTGGATTAGAGATAACATCTTCACTCGACGCGACCACATAAAACTGGTGCACGATAGCACACTTCACAATCTGTACAATCTAACGTATTCGTTGCAATTTGTTTCAACTACGATTAATCCTTGTTGTACTCAAAGAGAAGAAATTATTCTCGATCCCCCGAATAAGGAAAACGTGCCTATACATACACGTAATTGTAAATTTGAAGAGTCTGCTCAATCACAAATTCACGAAAGCCATAATGAGGTTTATCTGGAAGTTAGCCATAACAAAAGGTTGGGGTCTTTGGTATTGATCAATTCCTTCAAGGGAAATGCTCGGCATTCAACTTGCATTCGGAGTCGTAGGTGATTCGAATGCGTACGTGGCCTATACAATGGCTTGCGGTAGCCAGTCGATGTCCTGGTCAGTGCTCTTTATTCTTCCAGGCTATTATGGTGCCAAAGGGATCGAAGGCTAAGTTGACCTGTTCTGATATCGGCGTGTGTGATAGTGCGCCAATTACCACTACACCCCTACCGACAGTATGATTTGAAAACCATCGGCCTCACAAAATCATTGCAACGCGACCTCGAATTTGTGATAGTGCCCTGAAACGGATACGTAAGATTTATTGGGGCAGTGGTGTAGCAGGTGGAGTGCAGAAAAATCAAGGAATAATGGAGAGTGCTGAGAGGGAAAAGATATGATGCGTGATATTTTTAGGCAAAAAGTGGGCTTGTACCGTAGTTACGTGTTTAGCAGCGGTGCACGACGCCTGCAAATTCCATCCAGTCTCCAGTTCGACGCGTCGATGTCTTCAGTTGCGATTGATCCTGATCGGATCCTATTGGCTATGGAAACCAAAATATGATTAATGCGTATTGTTTTCTTCGATGGGATATCAGTGAGCGGAGAACCTTTAAAAAACTGAATTATTTTGAACCTTCTTGCATATCAGCTAGATTTTACGACTCTCTATCACGCTCTAAGTTAGAAACCTTTCTATTGAGAAGGTGTGATCAATTACTGAAAGGGAGGTATCAACATAACAGGGATTTCACTCGGTTTGGCTATACCAATCTAACACTTATCACCACTGTTATTACTACTTCCTGATACACGGTAGCCCACACCTAGTTCACTATAACTGCTCCATAAGCCGTCCTATCCCTGGCCGACTTCGTTGGTAAACAGTCTTACCGAAGCAGGTGGATTTAGCGTGGATGGGCATACATATCATCTACGGAGTTGGAGAATTCTTCATCTGAGCAGTCAAGGTGGTGAATTCGTACGTAGGTTGCCTTTTATATTTTGAGATTTGAGAACAGAAACAAATACTATTTATTGAAAATCGCTTTACTGCCTTTCAGAATTCTCCACATGAAGATCTATACACTTCTGCATGGGCTCGAACCAATTTTCAAAGCACTTTTGCCACTCTGATGTAGGTAACCCCAAAACATGGGCTCTGAACGCTTCATCGGGTTCTTCAGGTGTCGAAAAACGTTGACCTCTCATTTTATTTTTTACGTACGGGATGAGAAGATGTCACCCGGGGACTACATGGCTGATGACCTGTCAAATCGTTGTTTTGAGTGCTGAAAAATGCAGTTGTTTGAGCCGATAAGTGGGAGCTCGCATTGTCGTGGTGAAGAGTGATCCGTCTTCAGCAGTTGGTTTTCCTGATTTTTTGGAAGTCAACTGGCAAACAAATGGTGGTATACCACTCAGAATTGACTGTTCGGCTAGTCCTAGTGGTACGGTTCCGACATGTCCAGGTTTTCCAAAGAAACAGGAAATCAATTGCTCGGAAGTGCTTGGTGCGCGGACAGCTTTTGTTGGATTTGGCCCATCTTGAAATACCCATACGGTCGACTGCTGTTTCCTTCCGGGCTCATACGCATAAATGCATGATCCATCACCTGTCTCGATGTCANNNTGGGGGATTGACAAATTTTTCGATAACAATTATTTTGCAGTTAAATGTTCATGCAATTTGAATGTATGCTGGTCCCACTGATGCCTGAGTTTGTCCCAATCTCACGATAGGTCACATGACGGTCTTGCAATATTAGTTTGTGCACAGCATCAACCGTTTCCGAAACGACAACTGATTTTGGACGACCACTACGAAATTCGTCTTCGAGTGAACTACGACCTCGGGTGAACTCACTGTACCATCGATATACACTGGCCCTCGATGGAGCTTCATCACCAAAAATTGAACTAAGTTCATCCATGCATTGCTGTTGAGTTAGTCCACGTCAAAAGTTGTAGAAAATAATCGCTCGAAAATGCTCACGGTTCAACCCCATAACTTGGCCTAAACAAAATCTTATAACTTAGTGTAAACAACACAAATCGCGCTCAAATTTTGCAACGGAACCTCAAAATAGACAAACTTTACGATAGTGGTGTCAGTTGCTAGATTGCTACACTAGTGTTGCCAAATCTCAAAATATAAAAGGCAGCCCTCGTAGTAAATTAGTCTGGATCGTGAAAATTCTTGCTCCTAATTTTAGTAATATGATCGGGACGGGAAGTCTACAACTTGGAACAGGTGTACAAGCTGCCTTTGCCTATTGTTAATGTTAATGACATGGCCATGGAACTACAAGTTTAAATGCAAAGCTAATTCTAAATCGAATCAAAGTAGTCTTCAGAGAAAGCCATAACAACTTCTGTGCAATGGCACTCAAAATTCTCATGGTAGCTCACAGTATCGAATAGGTTGGGTTTGCTTCATTTGTAATCCCGAAAACGTGATCATTTTCGTGACGACCGCTCGAATTTGAGTTGAGCATTTTGTTTAACGGATGCAAATTCTCGACAGTGCTAGGAGGCTGTGCACTGACCAGGAGCAAGTCACTTGATGATATCCCTGAGTAGGAAATTCCGCAACTAGTGAAAATATGGGCTAAGATAGTGCGTTAATTGCTGATTGCAGACGTAGGCAAGTAAGGATAGGAAGGTTGCAGAGAAGTGACGAAGGAATGTAAGGAGTAGCAATACTAGTTAAAGCAAAAAAGTCTTAAAAAGAGGATTTGTCGAAATTTCCGAAGCCTCGCCAGATAAGGACCAAGATAGGTGGCTCGCAACATAGCTCCTTAGCTCGCATTCCTAAGAAATAATGTCAAAGGGCAGCGAAGATTGTTATCCTCTGTCGTCTACTTCTACTTTGATCTTTTCAACAGTAATGTCATCCCGTCTCCTTGCCACCAGAAACAGTAATTTCGAGGTATCTTGTTTTAGACGAAAAATGGAAGCAATTAGAACAGTGTAAAATTGGCGAAGAAGACGCGAAAATCTGCGTATATAGAGAAATACCAGACTTCAAAAAAGTGGTAGAATTAAGGGTTGGACAAGAATCTGACAAAAAACGTTGCAAGGAAGGGGTATTCGGACGAGCTCGCCTAATGAGTATACCGTACAGCTGACTGCATGCATTGGTTGGGTCGCGGTGCGAACGGTGCAACCACCACAGCTTTTGCAGCGCCGTGAGGACTCGTCCGTTTTAGGTGTGCACGTCGGCTAAGCCGATTTTGGGGCCCCTAATGCGTCCTATATAGACCGTTTCCCGATGGAATGGCGTTTCGTGGGCTAACCCTGAAAGCACAGGTTCCCTTATGGTGAAAATCCGGAAACCATTTTGATCTGTAACGGTGCCTTTGAAATAGGGAAACCCTCAAGACTTGGCGTCCCCTATCCCATTGAACGGATTCTCCATAGACGTATATCTTCAACAAGCGATATGATCGAGAGATCAACGCTATCCAATAGGCTAAAGAAAGTGCAATGTTCGGGGTTCTCGATTCATAAGAGTGCAGAGGAGAATCCAAGTTTGAGACATGGGTGGAACGAGGGCGCTACGGTCTTCCCTGATGTATCCGCAATAAAGAAAATAGAATTTGTCTTGCGGTTTTTGTGGTAGACGGCTATAGTTGCGGACGTTATTCTTCGAGACTTCAAAGAATATCATTTTCGCATTGAACGACAACCTGATGGCCAGCCTTTTTGGAAATGATCTGGATGAAAGATAGGACACCGTACGTAGCCCTACATATGGAGAGAATTTGATTCGATGAGGAACTTTGACAGAAACGAATGGACGCATAGTGGAAGCAGTTCTACGAATAACGGGTTCACAGGCGCTTTTAGGTTTACCATGCGTCTCCTCAGGAAGGACGCTTAGGAGCTAATCATCATCGAGTTCTTTTTGGCACAGGGCCGTATGTTCAAGTCGTTTAGGAAGAAAATGAGGCCAACATTCAATGAAGTGTATTCGGTCGTTCAGTTCAGCGCCGAATTCTTCAACACTCAATGGTGGTTTCGGCGACTCGCGGCCGGCGGTTTCCCCATCTCTCACGTTCGGCCTTGAACTTGTTTGGCACTACGCCAACATCTGTCATACCCTGTTTCATGTGGGTTAATCGATATCACTTAAAATCTCTCTCTTTCTTTCTCCGCTTATCATCCCGGTAACAAACAAATGTGGCAAAGACTCGAGGAGACTCCAC